AAAGTCTCTAGTTTTCGAGAAAATCGAGATTTTCTATTTTTGTAGTTCCACTGTTCACCGCTAGATGGCGCCACCTGTACCGTTTTGAAGCAAATTCGACAAAAATTGATTTTCTGGCTTTACTACGCATCAAAACGCATCAAACCCTAATAGAAATCTGTTTCTATATGCCTCAGGAAGAATACTACGTCGTCAAAGTGCCGAAATATTAATTTTTTTATTTTCCTTATATGCGTGTTCAGACCCTCATTTTTCAGATTTAGTTCACCCGTTTCGCCGCTAGATGGACGGCAATTTTTTGGTCCATGTTCTGCACTATTGTTTATTTTCTTTTCTACAGCTTGTAGGAAGCTGTTATTGCATTATTTCCTTTCTAATACAATCATATAATACTTTTCAAGCGTCAGAAGTACTTGAAACTTGCTAATTTTTACGGAAATCGCAATTTTATATTTTCGTAGTTCCAACTTTCACCGCTAGATGGACGGCAATTTTTCAGTCCATGTTTTGCATTATATTTTTATTTTCCTTTCTAGAGCTTTCAGCGTTCTAAAACTCTACTTATCTACTCTTATTACGTCTACAAAACAATTTGCAACCATTGGCAGAACACAGAAATATCTAATTTATCGAAAAAAACAATTTCTTCTTTCACCAATTTCAAACTTCACCGCTGACGTATGCGCTCTTTCAAACCGCGAAAATATGAATCCTAAAGCTACTTACCTTGTCTCGATACGCCACCATGAGTCTTGCAGCCTTGTTCACCGACATTCCAATGACAGTGTACTCTCTCCTTAAGATATGACCCACAACTCCACAGTACGTCATCCCTGTTGTGACACCTACAGTCACTGACTTGACATTATCCACTTCTACTAAGGTACTCCGAACCTTGGAAGCACATCTGAGACCTATCTGGGACTCCAGCTCGTGTTTGTCGCCTCTCAGACCGAAGATGCAGAGGAACATCAGATCCTTGTCGAAGAGGGAGGTTTTGTTTACGCACCCGTGCATTTCGTCCACAATTCTGCTCGAAAGATGCGACTGTTATGTGTTTGACTATCTCAGATTCTAGGATACGACTAAGAGTAGGTGTAGGATACTCTTCTAGGCCCCTAGCTTAAGCTCTAGGTCCCTTATGATCTATATTTCTCCTAACTCCTAAGGTCACTCAACATTTTAATTTTCTCTGGTCCCAATTTCCCTTAGATACTACACTTCTCTTAACTTTCAAACTGTGTAAATTGGCATCACCTAAATTGCTAAACTCCCTATAAGTTTAAAACTTCTAGCTAACTTTTCCCACTCTCTACATTCTCCTAAATTCCTCAAAAATCCTCCACAAAAGCCCTCTACTCAAGTGTCCATTCAAACCAATTAGAATAACAGAGGTACATACTGGCAGACTTGTTTGTACGTGGCGTTAACCAAAGCAATGAGTGTCCTCTTCCCAACATTCGACGTGATGACATTAATGAACAGTATCACCACCTGCCTCATTTCGGTTAGGTACTCTAAAGGTTCGTCCATCTCCACGGACCTCACAACAGGCCTCAGCATGTAACTCCTGAGAGCGTCCTTTAACCGAGCTCTTGCTATCTTCACAACTTTCGGACGTACTAAACGACATACCTTCTTTGTAACTACCATCTCTCTATCTTTGTAATTTATCTAACTTACAGCTGTAGTCGACCTGCTTGAAAATTTGGCTGTTGTAACTACCGCCGGAGACGAGTGTCTTGGATAGAGGATCGACCGTTGTACTGGAGATGAACAGGGAGTCTTCGGTGTCGGCGTAGAATTCTGTATCTTCGTCTGTGTGATGTGAAGGAGAAGTGAACGAGTAGTGAAGGAGTAGTCAAGGAGTAGTGAACGAGTAGTCAAGGAGTAGTGAATGAGTAGTCAAGGAGTAGTGAACGAGTAGTGAACGAGTACAGAACGAGTAGTGAACGAGTAGTGAACGAGTAGTGAACAAGTAGTGAACAAGTAGTGAACAAGTAGTGAACGAATAGTGAATGAGTAATCAAGGAGTAGTGAACGAGTATAGAACGAGTAGTGAACGAGTACAGAACGAGTACAGAACGAGTAATGAACGAGTAGTGAATGAGTAGTGAACGAGTAGTCAAGGAGTAGTCAAGGAGTAGTCAAGGAGTAGTGAACGAGTAGTCAAGGAGTAGTGAATGAGTAGTCAAGGAGTAGTGAACGAGTAGTCAAGGAGTAGTGAATGAGTAGTCAAGGAGTAGTGAACGAGTAGTCAAGGAGTAGTGAATGAGTAGTCAAGGAGTAGTGAACGAGTAGTCAAGGAGTAGTGAATGAGTAGTCAAGGAGTAGTGAATGAGTAGTCAAGGAAGTGAACGAGTAGTGAACGAGTAGTGAACGAGTAGTGAACGAGTAGTGAACGAGTAGTGAACGAGTAGTGAACGAGTAGTGAACGAGTAGTGAACGAGTAGTGAACGAGTAGTGAACGAGTAGTGAACGAGTAGTGAACGAGTAGTGAACGAGTAGTGAACGAGTAGTGAACGAGTAGTGAACGAGTACAGAACGAGTACAGAACGAGTAATGAACGAGTAGTGAATGAGTAGTCAAGGAGTAGTGAACGAGTAGTGAACGAGTAGTAAACGAGTACAGAACGAGTAGTGAACGAATAGTAAACGAATAGTAAACGAGTAATGAACGAGTAGTGAAGTAGTTATTTATTGAATTTGATTTTCAATAGAGTTGTACCTTCGGAGGAACCTATGGGTATATCATCCTCTTTAGGCTGGTACCACATGGTGGTGCACGCGAGGATCAGAGTGTGGACGCCGTCTGGAAGCTTTTCGTGGATGAACTCGTTCGGATTCACCCATTGCCAGCTACTGGGGGCCACTAGGATATCTCCACCCCTGTGGAGATTATATTTAACGTACAAGTTTAATTTGCTGGGAGAAATTATTAGGAGTAATGTACAGGAGTATAGGAGAACTATAGGAGATAATAGACTGCAGTATTGGGAGTAGATGTACTAGGAGTACAGGAGAAAGTTACACAAGATGATGTAACAGCTGTTCAAGTTGATTGATATAGCAAAAATTGCTATAAACTTCTTATTACAAGTTTTCAGAGTACAAGGGCTCCTGTAGCTGGTATAGCTTGTCAGCTAAAATAATTAAAATCATTACTTGCAGAGGCCTTCCGCGAACTTAACATCCCACACCGGTTGTCCCGTGATGATGTAATGAGACCTGGTGTCTGGGTTCCCAATGGAAGTGAAGTACGTCTTCCCAGAGGCAATCGCCAATTTTACTAGCAAGAAAATTACTCTCAAAGTACTCTCAAAGAAAACAACAGAATCTCAATGTTGTTATATTGATTACGACTTAAATATCCATCAATGAGTCTCAATATTTATTTCTACAAACTATCCCAATAAATATTACCCTTAAGAACGACTCCAACATCCGTCTCATAAGTCCCAAAATGTTTCTGAATGATACAAGCGGTCTGCATGGCTTCAATAGCCAGGTCCCTCATCATCATCCCTTCGTGAAGCTTCCACATCACTATAAAAGCGTCTCCAGAAAACTTCAACACGTCGCCATTATGAGAAAGTATCTCCTGCACCATCGCTCCAATATAACTGTTCAAAGTCTCCGTCAACTTCGATGGACCACCCTTTCCGGTTTTCGTGTACTTCTCGGCGAGGTCCGTGAAACCTTATACCCATATCTTTCATCTCGATTTGGTAATAATTGGTAATCATGCAACGATTTTTACCTGACACGTCCCCTAGCATCAGAGTGGTATAGTACATCCTAGTTTGGTAGTCGTCATAGTGATCTAAGATCTCGTCGGGACACATCGAGGCAAATATTTTAGTGTGGTACTCCAATCTCAATTGTGCTGCCTTCGATTTGTGTGCCATTAGGGATTTCGACTTGCCTCCTTGATAAATTATTAAAGCAATCACGGTTCAGATCGAAGGTTATTTATAAATTAACTAAATTATAGGAAGCTCATAGGAAGCTTTGAATTTTGTTGGCTGCAACGTGTACATATATAATAACTCACCATCGAAAATCGTCTTTTTACGTTTATTCCTCCAAGCTTCCCTAGCAGGATTATTTATATGCCCAGTTATATTTATCATTTTCTAGCTCGATAACAAATTATATCTCGATTTCTACAGAGTTAATTTACAATAACCTTGATAAATATTTCTGACTAACTGTTACATTACGAACTTCACTATAATACACAATCGAGTTGTACGCAGAAACAAGTTCATGTTTAAAACACAGGTACAAAGCACATATAAAAATATTTATTATCTTACGATCAACTTTTTGATCTACGTACATAATTCTTTTTAGTGACAACAGCTTTATGTATCATATAAAAATTGAATGTCTTACGTACCCCTTAAACTTACTCCTTGTTGACTGAAAGAACGAACAAGGGATGAATAAATAAAACGTAAACAGTGTTCCATAAGTATATTTTATTTAACCGAATGCTCTAATCCGAATGATGGAGAAAAACTTGAGGGAGATTCGTTTAGCGTTCAACAATGAATACACTTCTCGTGACAATAGACAATATGTGTTTATTTAATAGTCTCGCTATATAGATACTTATATGACTTGTCGCTCTAACAGATCGCTGCCTACAACGTGACGGCCGAATTTTATTGTGCCTGGCCCTACTTAGTTCCTTATTGTGCTTGAATCTATGATGGGTCGACGTCATCTTTGGTTTACAATAATTAAATCTGTCCATTTTTCTTTTTTTTTCTTTCTTTCCCTTTTACACCGTCATCTAACAATTCGATTATACTCGCTAGTTTCTTCTTCTCGCAAGAAATGTTTCTCGCAAAATCGTCTCGAGAAGATAACGTATTCTCTCTTGCTCGTGTTCTCTTTCGCACAACACATATCCGAGTAACGTGATGAACACATTAGTCTTACGTCGTGTTTGTGTACGTGTATGCGTGTGTTTTCCTCAAGGACAAAAAATTACTTTACGTGTACATAAAACATTTACATCGTTTTTGTTAACTCGCAACCACCGATGACACGATGAAATTAATATGTACAGATGTCGAACGGTAGACAGCAATTTCCGCTCGAATATTCAAAATTGGAACATTTGTGGGGGTTGGGGTTGCAAGTTAAAGCCCAGTCCATATCCGCGTGAAGCTCGGAAAAGAGTTTTAAATAATAGGATATGTTTATGGGAATATTGGCGGATATTAAAATTGGTAAATATCGGGAAGTATTAATACTATGATAGATCAGGGAAGAGTATTGGAATATCGAAGAATATTCGAAATATTAAATGACTTGGGAAATATTAAATGTTACTAGGTAATATTAAAATTGGGAAACAGGGTTTAATATTAGGAATTTGAGAAATATTGGAAGATACTAAATATTAATATCGGAACATTAATATTCTAGATACTAACATTGAGAAATATTAATATTACAAAATATCGATATTATTAAATATTAATATCAGTAATATTTAACATTTATCAGTATTAATATCGCCAATAATTTTGTGGATCCCTCCAAAAAATATTTGAATTCTTTCGCGAACGCAGATAGGAACTGGACTCCCAAAATGGCGAATTTCCTAAAACGATACAAGAATTACGAAAAACCGTCTACAAAATTTGACGATCGCATCTATTCGTTTATCAATGATTTGAAACGTTAGTCGATAAAAATATCGATCCACCGAAAGGCGGTATTATTCTGAATCGTCGTTTAACGTTACATCGATACTCGAAACGTGCATGCGATTAATTGTACATCGACGGCGGACAAAAAAAATATTTCTATATCTTTTTTTTTCTTCTCACGTGTCCCTCCAAATGAATTGCATACACGTTTTGTACGCCCTAATTTTAGACGGTGTCTGCGACGAAATTTGGAAACATCGTACACGTGCTCGCACGCGGTAACACATATGTATACATTTAATCGTTATACTTATAATACGGTGCTTCGATTTCTGCTATAATGTACATGCTTCGTGCGAGCAAGTGTACGCGAATCCCTGAAGACTTTGTCGAAGAAAAATTATCTTGAAAAGTACTTTGAATATTGACACAATTTTAATTATTTTTTGGTAACATATTTCAAGTATTAATTTTCGTATCATGTAGTACAGAAAATCGCTAGTAATTTTATGAGATATCAAGATTATTTAATATTAGCATTTTTGTATGTGGAATCCTCTAGGAATTGAAGCTTGAAAATTTGGAGATTCAGTAATTTAGAACTTGAGACTTTGAGAGTTTGGAATTTAAGAAACTTGAAATTTTTTAAATCTACAAATTTTTGATGCGAAGTTTAAGTAAAAAATATGAAAAATTCTAGCAATTATCAACGTTACAAAAGTATTATTTTGACAAAAATTGAAACTTGAAAAAAATAAAAAATTGTACACCAATATTTTGCACCTAAATTAATTGATAATGAAAAATTTCGATCGCAGACAGAGGACAAAGGGCGTGTAACGAAGAAGACAGACGGGAACGCGCACAAGAGATTTTCCTTTCACATATGTTACACATTTTTTTGTTGTTTTAACTTTTTACGACAAACGTGACTCGTGTTATATAATGGCACACAGCATGGCAGTTGCAACAATGTACTTCAATAAACTGTTTACTTTTTTTTATCTTTTCATTAATAACTTAACTTATCTTACTCGTTAAACTTAACGCTAGCCTCGTCGTTTCTCTCCTATTCATCGACTCTGCTCGATCGAGGATCCTTCGTTGAAAAAAAACGATAAAAAAAGGCTAAAAGAACCGGTATCTTTCGAGAAGATCTCTTGATCGTCGATCGTCGATCGTTCGATTAATTAAGCGTCGTAAAGACTAGGCTTAACACAATAATTCGCTTCGTATCTTTCTATTTCTTTCTCTTCTTTTCGTTCTCCTTTTCTTTCAAGTATGTACACGTCAAAACCGAATTAATTTAACACGCTAAATGGCGTGATTCAAGCATAATATAAGAAAAGTCTATCGAAATACTTGTTCAATTTCGTAAAATTGCAAATGGCGTCGGGGTAGGTGACTTGGAGGTTAGGTTCCTCTAAATTTCACTGATAGATAAATAAGCTTCTAGTCGAAACAAGAAATTATTTTTAGTTAAAACCCTGTAAATAATATCTGAGTTTCTTATAAAACGATTTTCGAACAATTTACGATCATAGTCATTGAACGTGTTAATCGATACCTTTCATCCCCGCAAACTCTATCCGCTATTTTCTTTCTGTCGTTTCCGCTTAACGTTTAAACACGTAGAAATTGGAGAATAAAAAAAGGGGGCTGGGAGAAGCCACAACGGCCGCGGCATCTCGTTTTGGATTCACGATCGGCGTTCGTACAATTTAGCGATTGTTGCGAATTGTAAACGGCGTAAGCAAATTTTTGACAACTGAAAAGATTTCGTTGTACGAGAATCGTGTATCCAATTTGGGTGAACGCCACGACCCACGGCCTTCCTTACGCAGTATTCACATAAAAACGTTTTTTTTGCTTTTTCCTTTTCGTCGTAGATATACTAAACAGTCGAGTCGAAAAATAATATCGAGACGGCCTCGTTCACACGATACTCGCTTTTTCTCGTTTCGCATTTTCACTCGTGTTCCACGAACAGTCTCGGCTTAAGATCACTCGAGTCAATTAACAAATCCTTTCAAAAAAATTTCTGACAGAGTCCGAAACGTCGCTTCTGCGATTTTATGACAGTCTTAAAATTCAAGATTCAAAGCGATTATCCTACGATTACAACCTGTTTATTCAATGAGCTTTGATAAGAAAAAATCTCTGGAATTCTCGAGCGATCGAAAGAAAGACTTATTTATTTCTGTTTCGAAATTCATTCACACGAAACGCAGTCACTCCACGTTAACAATTGTGTCAATTAACGATAATATTAATTTTCTGCTTAGTTATATATATATATGTATGTATATATATATATGTATATAATGTAACATGGTGATATAGGCTTGATATGACGGTGGCACACCTTTTATTTCCATTTTGTTTCGTTTTTCTTACACCCTTTTCATCCATCCTCGACTCGAACACTAGGAACAAATATTTTTTAATTTCCATTTTTTATAAAAGCTAGCTAGGGTAAATGAGGATATGTGAAAGATCAAAACTGATAGGATTTGATTATCACGGGATAGCGGATTGTCAAAAGTTGATTAGTAATTTTTTCGATTATGTTTGGAAGAACTGAAATCAGGGTTGTTAGAAATTTTTGTAGAATCTGTCTAAATTTTGAGTAAACAAATTCCTCGAATAACTAACCCTAACTTTACAAGATTCACTGACTAATCCTTCCGATATTCCATAACAAGTAACAAAATTCCAGTCACAATTCGAACTTACATTTTAATGATATTTTCGTGTAATTCTAAGTTCGAGTCGAGAGAAGAAATGAAAGAGTACTCTGATCAGATTACACACAGGGCAGAGAATCTATTACCACATTTCTCAGTATTATACGTTTCGATTTCGGCAATCTAGCTCCTAGAATCGTTAGAAGTGAGAAGAAGTCTTTAAGAGGGGGTGGAAAGATTCGTTGCAGAGGGAGATCGAAATGGGAAAAGGTATGTGTACCAGCAAAGAGAGCATCTGTTAAAGTATTAACGATAAAATTTTACACTTTCAACATGTCATTTAACTCTTCGTTAGGGTAGACACGACAATATATCTGTATATTTATATATTTATATATATATATACGACGAACGAGTGTCGGACGTAGACTGTTCTTTCATCGAATATGAAACCGTTTCAACCCTCTGACAGTTCAATAAAAATTCATCAAATAATTTTGACATACATACAATACATTTATATTTTGAAATTGCTATACGTTTCTACTGAAC